CTTTGACAGGATATCAATTTCTTTCTTGAAACTGGCTGCCTGGGCGGCCCTTATGATGACAGCTTCTGCGTACTGTAGCTCTTCCACTGTGATAGGGATGTAACTCTCGCTGCCTACTTCTTTGCGGTGAGTTACTGGATTTTCGTCGCCTGACGATGTCCTTCTTTCTTGTGAGCGTTTCTTCAGTTTTCTTAAGTAACGCAGGCATAGCGCGACAGATCTCTTTGCACAGAACCAGTCCGAGAAGTACTTTATGTGTTCAGTTAAGTATAAGGGAACTTCGGGAGCGGATACTGTTGCCATGGTAACGGAACCTTTGACTTCAGGATCTTGCTCACGCGGTTCACAGCGAACATCTTCTTGAGTTCTCATAGTATCAGGCCACTGGTCTTCGCTCTTCCATAGAAACTCTGGGCCACAGATCCACTTTGAATTCATTATCTCTCGGGCACAGACACCGCGTGATCCCTCATCGGCAGGATTTGACTTGGTCTCCACGTACTTCCATTGTTTGGGAGAGGACTTGTCGTGGATTTCTTGAACGCGATTGGCAACGTACACGTGGAATCTTCGTGACTCGTTTGAAATGTAACCGAGAATGACTTTACTATCGGTCCAGAAGATTTCTTCGACATTTTCAAGGCGTAGTTCCTTTCCCAGTTGAGTGCTGACCCTTACAGAGATCACAGCTGCGGAGAGCTCGAGCCTCGGGATAGTGACTGTTTTGAGCGGTGTAACTCTCGACTTTCCGATCACAAATGAGCAGTGGATCTTGTATTGGTCATCAGTGAGTCGTAGGTATGAACATTGCCCATACCCCTTGTTACTCGCGTCAGAGAAGTGGTGGAGTTCTGCTTTGATCACGTGACCAATTTCTTTAGGCTTGTAGCATCTTGGGACCGACAAATCTTGTATGTGTTGAAGGTCTGCTCTCCACTTCTCCCATCTTGCCTTTACAGCGTCTTGTACAGGATCATCCCAGCCAGTGTTTTCTTTGCACATTTCTTGTAAAATCTTCTTTCCTTCTAGAAGGACAGGAGCGACGAATCCCAGTGGGTCAAAGATGGAACTGACCGTGGATAGTATCCCTCTCTTGGTACATGGCTTGTCTTTCAGCGTTATCCGAAAGTTAAAGGAGTCGTTTTCGATGCACCATTGGACTCCAAGTGCACGCTCCACTGGCAGAAAATCTTGATCTAGGTCCAGATTCTTGATATCTTCAGCTCTGGCTTCAGTTGGTATGCTGTGGATCACTTCTTTGTTGTTGGAAACGAACTTGTGTAAGTTGAAGCCCCCTCTCTTGCACATCTCTTTAACATCTTTGATGAGCTTCACGGCTTCGCCTACGGATGGTACGGACTTAAGACCGTCGTCTACGTAGAAGTCATCCCGGACAAAGTCAGCTGCCGCGGAACCAATTTCCTTCTCATTGTCGTTGGCAGTGGACTTCAAGGCGAAATTTGAGCAACCTGGTGAGGATGTGGCTCCAAACAGATGTACTGTCATCCGATACTCTTTGGGTTCTTTGGAGGTGTCGCCATTTTCCCACCAGAGAAAGCGTAACAGGTTTCTGCATTCTTCGTTAACCTTCACCTGGTGGAACATCCCTTCGACGTCACACATGAAAGCAATGTTCTCCTTTCGAAATCTGCACAGGACGCCAGTTAGATTGTTGGTCATGTCCGGTCCTTGTAGGAGATGCTTGTTTAAAGAGTCCCCTTGAAACTCAGCGGAGCAATCAAAGACAACTCGTATCTTGTTAGGCTTCTTAGGGTGATATACCCCATGATGTGGAATGTACCATACTTGCTGGTTGCCTTCTTCTTCATTTAGTGCTGGGACTTCTTCGGCATAACCATTTTCAATGACCGTGTTCATGAAGTTGACGTAATCGTTACTATACTTCTTATCGGACGCCAATCTTCTCTTTAGGTTCTTTAGCCGACGGAGAGCCATCTCTCTATTGTTTGGCAACCTCAAGTTCCGATCCTTTAGAGGTAGGGGCATTTCGTAATGTCCATCTTCTCGATGATATATGCCTTCAGTGACGATCTTCAGAAATCTCCGATCTTCTTGGGAAAGTGCTTGCCCGTCCGTGTTTCTTTCAGAGAAGTCTAGTTCAAGCATTTCCTTTACTTGGAAGGGGTTCAAGATTTCCTTGGCTTGAGAACTAACTGCAAACTTGCTGTGAAGACTTTCGGGATCTCCAACTTCTTGAGTGATAATCCGGTTACAGGTGACTTCGTTCTCTTCAACTCCATCTTGCGTGTCTTTAACTGGCGTAACTGGTCCGATAATTCCCCATCCCAGCAGGGTTCTGATGGCGTATGGATCATCCGCCTTTCCTGTTATCACCTCTCGTGGCTTGAGTGCTCGAGGGCAGTTACAGCCAATGAGAAGGCCCACTTCTACCCTTTCTTGATAAGGTGGGATCTTGTCTTGAATTCTTTGCAGATGTGGCCACTTGTTTGCTGTCCCGGGTCGAGGAATCTGGTTTCTCCTGGAGGGAATTGCATCACGCGAGTACACCTTTGGGAGCTCCACTTGCACTCTTTTGTCGTATCTCTCGACCAATAAGCCATTTACTTTCTGGACAGGTATCTCAGCCTTTCCATGCATTGTGTAAAGCTTCAGGTTGATCTCTGGACCTTCAACGCCGAGCTTCTTTAATACGGAGGATTTAACAAACGTAGTATCACTAGCGTTGTCCAGGAGCGCATACACCAACACTTCGGACTGTGGGCGGTCCTTGTGATGAAGCCACACGGGGAGAATCATGGAATTAGTCAGGTTGCCGTCTGGGGTGTTGGAGCAATTGCTGACTGCTTCCGGGGTTGTGGCTTCGCTGCCACCGTCATACTTCTTCGGAGATTCTTCTTTGTTCCTTGAATCGTCATGCAAGGACGAAGGATGGGACTTTCCACACACTCCACACTTCAGTCTTGTCGCACAAGCCCTTGAGAGGTGTCCACCGTTAAGGCAACCGAAGCAAAGGCCGTTCTTCCTTATGAAGTCCATGCGATCTGGTAGGCTTCGCTTCATAAACTCTGGGCAATCATCCAGGCAGTGATTTCCTTGGCACGAAGGGCAGCGTCCTTGCGATCGTTTTGATTTATTCTTATTCGCCTCTGGCCTTGTAGAAGTTACCAGGCTGTTCGCTGAGGGAAAACGTCTTGTGTTGCGACCTCTGTTGTCACGTGGCGTAGTACTCGTGTCACATGACTCCTTATTTCGCTCTCGCTTTAAGGCGTTGGGAGAGAAGACGGGATCAGTTGCTAATTCAGCCTCCAACTTTACAAATTCCACGAGGTCACTGAAAGAGACGACGTCCTTTGTCTTTTCTCTCCGATCGCGTGCGTAGCGGCACCACTTGACACCACAATAAGACGGAAGTTTTGCGCTGATTTGGATGAGCGTTTCTGTTGAGTTTAGCTCGCCCATATACTGCATAGACTTCATAGCCTCTCTGCAACGGATCAGGAAGTCGGAAAGTTCTTGAATTCCCGCGCTGTCTCCATCGCGAACCCTTGGCCACGCGCGTAATCGAGACTTGAAGCTTTCAGCGACATGATAGGGTTCTCCAAATCTTTGAGCTAACAACTTCTTTGCTTGCTCATAGCCATCGCCTGTATTCATCGCTACGAAGCCTTTGATCACGTCATTAGCCTTTCCGGTCGTGTACTTGCTGAGGAAGAATAATCTATCTCTACTTGCTTCTACTTTACTCTCGATGATTGTCTCGAAGGCTTGTATGAAAGCAGGATAGTCCATAAAGTTTCCGCTGAAAGTAGGCGGTTCCTGTACCGGCAAAGAACTGATTTGTTGCTGCTTTGCAATCGCGGCGCTAAGTTCCGTTTGTTTTTCTTGCAATTTAATTAGTTCTTTAATCGCGCTTTCATTTAGACTACTTGACTCTTGGTTCTGTCCGTTTTCGACCTTTAAGTTTGGTTTCACTTCTGCCGAGTACGAGGGCTCCATTTGTGAAGGGTCTAATTTCGGTATAAATGGCGGAGAATAAGGGTTCATCTTGATTTGTTTTCCGTTTTCTTGATAAGTGAATTTGACATCATTCTTGTTATCTTTGTGGTTATCCTCTTGAACGGTGTTAATTGGCGATTTCTGATTTTGATCATCGGTTAATTTGAGCTCATCATTGTCACCACTCATCTTATCTTTGCTGTCGATCACTTTGACATGGC